ATATATATATATATATATATATATATTTAGATATTTAGATATACGCATTCTATGAGGACAAGATAGCAGCAAACAAATACACGATAAATATACACCATAGATACCGAAATACACATAAATCAGTGTAAATATATATACGCATATATATGCATGTATATAATATATATATATGCATATATATATATATACATATATGTACTACATCATATATATTAAATATATACATAGACATATAATACCTTAAATTAAAGCATACAAATATATCTACATCATCAAATCCAAATATATAAAGATAAAAACCTATATAAATAAATAAATATAAATATAAATATAACTAACGTAATGTCTCTAGCTTCCTGGTCTACTTTGAAGCCCAGAGGCGATAACAAAGAAGAGTCGTATAACATTGCATTCGTCGGCTTTCCTTCAAAACGCAAACTGCACAAACGGTGAAGCTCTCCGACGTCTAAGCCTGCACATACATATAAATATAAATATATATATATATATATAAATGTGTATATATATATAAATATATATAAATATATATAAATGTATATATGTATGTAGGTACTAAGAAGAAAATAAAGAGACAACACACAGAAAGAGAGACTCAGGAAGAGCAAAGTCATAGGGTTGAAATTAATTAATTAAAGAGATTTGAAATGCATATAAATAATATATATATATATATATGTATATGTATATATCTATATTTGTTTATATATTTATTATTTATTTATTTATTTATATCTACCGTTTGGATCGTAGAGAACACCCGATCCGTCTACGACAGCAATTGTTTTGGATTTATATAAACATATATTTATATTTATCTATTTATCTATTTATTTATCTATTTATCTATTTATTTATCTATTTATTTATTTATTTATATCTACCGTTTGGGTCATAGAGAACACCCGATCCGTCTACAACAGCAATTGTTTTTGACTTTGTTTGCAGCAGCGCGTTGCAGCCCAAATCTCCATCGGGGCCTCCCGTTTGAATTCTCGTCATTTCTTCTTCTTTCAAACCCAACTTATTGTATATGCCTGCGTCAGCATAAATATATATATAATCCTATATAAAGAATGCAGTAAATATACGCATTCAGATATACATGCACATTAATATATATTATATATATATGTATACATATATATATATATAAGGGTTTTCTTCTAACCTTTAACATATGTCTCAAGACTATTAAACCTATTAAATCAGCAAATAATATTGAATATATATAGATGTCTATAATATATATATATATATATATTATAAATATATTATATATATTATATATATCTAACCTTTAACATAAGCTTCAACGCTGGCTGTGGTCATCCCAAATCGGTCGTGCGGGATGCCTCCGTGTTGAATTAATTTGCCGGTGGTGAAGGCCTTCCACCACACCGACCCTCTTTCTTTAGCTCTTTGAGCGGCCCAGTCTAATAGACCTCCAGTCCCTGTGCATGCATGCAATTAATACACTTCATTCAATTAAACAAAGCAAGAGATAATAATAAAATACAAACACAAACATGTACGTATGTATATTATACATATATATATATATATGTATATATATATGTATAATGTCTATAATAAATACAAATTATCATATATATATATATATACGAATATTTATAATAGCGTATAGTGTAGAGAATATAAAATAAAATATATATATATATATAGAATATAGAATATATATAAAAAATATATTTGTGTTAATTTATATTTATTTATTTTAATTAAAGTATATTTACCTGTATATAGCATATATAATATATAAAAAATATATTTGTTTATTTATATTTATATTTATTTTAATTAAAGTATATTTACCTGTATTTTCGTCCGGCCCCAAGAACCAAACTTCGGAAATGCCCAAACCATCATCGACATCGTGGTGAGGCAACAACAAATCCAGCATACTGCGATCAACAACGCAAACCCTAAACCCTAAACCCTAAACCCTAAACCCTAAACCCTAAACCCTAAACCCTAAACCCTAATAACCCTAAAGAACCCTAAACCCTAAACCCTAAACCCTAAACCCTAAACCCTAAACCCTAAACCCTAAACCCTAATTGGGGTGTGTTGATTGATGGCATGCAATCGCGATGGAATTTGTACAAAACTGAAAACGTATACACATAGATATTAAACCCTAAACCCTAAACCCTAAACCCTAAACCCTGTGATTGATGATTACTTGTCGATATATGCTTTGAATGCGAGGGGTGCTTGTCGTTTAGCTTCTGCGAGAGTTTGTGTTTTATTAAGAAGAATAATACCTTTAGAACCTCCTTCAGAAATATCTTTATTTTTGAACTGCTGAGTGAATGCAAGTTTATATGCTTCATCAAGAAGAGAGCGACGATTGGTTTCATGAGCAGCAGTACCAACAGAGAAAACTAAGCGTACACCGCCTCTAGAGACCTCAGCAAAACGAATATGAAGACCTACTGCAAGCCCTCCGATTTGAAAGAAGATCGGACAAGGAGTTGACGGAAAGTCAGAAGAAGGCAGGGTTGATCCTCGTATACGAAACGCGAAACCTTGTTTGAACGGCATATAGAAATTTGTACATAGAATAGATTTTGTAAACTCGCGAAACTTTAATAATATTGCAACTGCTTCTGAGGACTCTAAACGCAATATCCGCTCCTTTAACTCGTTCGTCTCTTTAAATAAAACCCTCTTAACTCGCGGGCAATGCAGAGACTAAACAAATTCAAACATAAACACACACACACACACACACACACAATTTCTCCTCCTAAACAATTATTATCTTTACACTTAGGCTTGGCTTATTTAAAAAAGAAATAGACGAAAACCTCATATTCATATTTGTCAAACAAAGTTTTCTTCATATATTTGTACATTTAGAGATAAAATGCATAATTAAAACTAGTAATAGATTTAGTAAATATATTTTAAATTTATAAAAGACAAAATAAATGTTTCAGAATAAGATTATCTACAAGATAAGGATGTAATAACAAAGAAAAATAGAGTATTAGTTATGAGTAAAAGAAGAGAAGCAATAATAATAACAAAAGAAATATCTAAGAAACCAGCGTTATAACTCTCTGTGTTTGTTTCAGGTGTATCCGCAGCTTACTGCGAATTCTTTGTAAAGTTCTTTTACAATATTTGCATTCTCGCCAACCACTTTAAATATTAAATCTTCAGAGAAAGGACAGGTCTTCAGTCTTGTGCGTAATTCATATATTTCTTGCATTGTTAAACTTTTACCTGAAATCAACAATATACATCTCTATTGTAATTATTATATTCAAAGTATTATATACAATATATTATATATACGTATGGATATACATGCATATTAGACAAATATACGTAATATATATATATATATATATGTATATATATATATATATATATATTATATGCATTACATATGATAGATACATACAATTGCAATAAATAGTACAATAAAATAAAATAATATA